TCTATTTTATTTCAGACATCAGTTAGAATTTTGTATATTCTACTAGTGCTCATACACTTGTGACACCAGGTCTTGGCACACATTCTAGTAAACTTTATGGTTTTGGAGTATTTATATATCATTATGATTGCACTCAGTTGCTTTCGCTTTATTTATTTAAACTTTTCCCTTCTTAAACTCTTAATAAATAGAATTTAATTACTTGAAAACTTATTAAAAGAGTAATCACGTACTTAGTTCACCGTTAGTTTGCCTAGTGGCGACGTCGAACGACATCACGGCCTATAGGAGAATTTGGGTCGTGACATTTATTTAGACTACTTATTTTCTAGTAGCGTCCTCGGAAAACTTACCAATAATTCTTCCACTTGGTACCTTGGGAAGTCTAAATAATAATACAAAAGGACACATCAGTAAAGCTTCTAAACATATCACATTTCAAAAGGTATTGGCCAGTACTTTCAATATAACCATACATGGATCCTTTTAACTTTCTACCCCAATTCTTTCCAGTTCTTTAGTTAGTTGCTTTGGTAATTGATCGAGCAGCTTCTATCCTATTTACATGTTAAGCTTTAACACGTAATATAAATCCATATACTCTAAGAAATATAGAACATCTACTACTTATTTATCAATCAAATAATGTGTAGAACAAACTGCAGATAAAACGAATTTTCACTTTAAATATTTGAATTAGCGCGATAGAGAGAAAGAAAAGTATGAGATTATAGACCCAGGTTTATGTATCTGGAATTGAATTTCAACTTTCATTTGTTTCTTGAGCTCATAAAATGGGACAGGTTTAAGTGTTTGCTCATAAAGTAGGACATGTTTATGTATGTGTTTCTTCTGCACATTGCTCTCATTGTTGAAGTATTGTTTTTAATTATAACATCGCCGTATGGCGGCAGACACTTCCATTGATAGAAAATAGTTGTACGAAAATGAGGTGGATTAAACATTCTTACCCTTAGCTTTAGTGTGACTGGACAAGCCTAGTCAACGCTACCCAAACTTTTAAGCCTATCTTACAGACTAACCAAAATACAGTAGATAGGCTAACAACTGAAGGATCAACTTCCATCGAAGATGTTTACTCTATGCTTATGTCTAAATGTGACTACCTGCATCTTGTCTATCCTATAAGGGCCTTTGATATTTTGAGGGAGATCACTACTGGACAAAAATACATGATCTAACTTATTAACACTCCACTTAGCCAATGCATCCGCCACTTGATTTGCTTATCTAAAGCAGTGTTGGATTGTGAAGTTAACCAACTTAGTATAATTCTTGATTTCTTCAATAATATCCTTCAAGTGCCATGGTGGTCTATGAACTTCTTTAAGCATATTAATGATCAATAAAGAGTCGCTTTCTAACACAATGTTAGTGAAACCATTCATAGAACTCCACTTTATTCCAATTAAGATTGCCTTTACTTTAGCCATGTTGCTGATGCAGTAACCAATAAGAATTTTATTCACTTCTGTCCAAAGCAGTATATAGTTGCTCACCCAAATATTGTATTTTATAAGGATATATAGTACAATAACCCTTCTAAATTTATGGACACTGATTCCAAAGCAATATATAGTTGCTTTAGCTTGTAAAATTCTTATTGCCTTTGCTTTAGCCATGTTGCTGCTTTTGGGTGAGTAACATTGATCGAAATTGTTACACCTAAACAACTCACCTAATTGGAGTTTACCTCTACCCTGCACTTCATATGATTCTGATGTACTGGGGAGAACATTTATGGCGAGATTTGTTTCTTCTTCAGCTAGCAGCCGGTCACCAATTTTCCCTCCAGTCAACTATAAAAAGTGCAAAGCATTTTAGATGACATCAAAACAGACAGAAGAAGCTGCAGTTTTAGCAAATCCTATTTCCAAGGCAGTTCTCACAAACAAAAATCAAAGATACCTAATGGAATTCTTGAAAGCCAAAACTGAAAATTTTGTCCTCATAAATTCAATAAATTTATGGACACTTATTCCAAAATGCTCTATCTCAAAATGGTAGTCATTTATGGGAATAAAGACAAGAGTGAGTTGTTCTAGTGGTGAGCACCCTCCACTTCCAACCAAGAGGTTGTGAGTTTGAGTCACCCCAAGAGCAAGGTGGGGAGTTCTTGGAAGGAGAAAGCCGAGAATCTATCGGAAACAGCCTCTCTACCCAGGGTAGGGGTAAGGTCTGCGTACACACTACCCTCACCAGACCCCACTAGTGGGATTATACGGGGTTGTTATTGTTATTGTTGTTGTTGTTGTTATGGGAATAAAATTCTGATTGGCCTTTCTTCTCATCTAACACCCAGTGGCGCACCAAAAAAATTCCATAAAGAAACAGCCATCTCACCATTCATGGTTGAAGTTATCTGTATTATCAATGCTTCTGCAACCTAACTGATGTACCTCGCTTCAATTGTTTTTTCCCATTTTGGTTATGTAATACAGTAACTTGTGAAGTCCTAAATAACGAATAATTCAATCCTGAGCGTTTCTTTCTTGTTAAAGATAATTAGTGTTTTCTAAGGTTCTTCCTAAACACCATTGTGTAGGAGGGAATAGTTATACCTTTTTGTATGATATCATTTGCTCCCAATGTTATGGCTATTATACTGTTTGCGAGCAATTGTAATACGTTTCATTATACTCTTAATGTTGGATTTGGTAATGTTGTTGCAAGAAGCACTGATTGTTCATAGTATTTTGAAATGTTCTTCGCTGCGTGATTTTACATTTTACTGTGTGGTAGCAACTTACCAATCTTAAATCTTGTTTTCTTACTCCACTAATATGAACCCTTTTTAACAGATAAAGAGCCTGAATAAGTTTGAAGAATCATCCTTAAAGATAGTTCCGAGCAAGGTCAAGCAGCTGGAATTGTTGAAGAACAAGGGAAATCTATTTTGTTTTATTAGGCGTTGTAGTCGTCATCTGTACAAACTACTATTTTACTTTCTCTTTAATTTTCTGTTTTCTTTAAGAAATTGAAAAAAAAGGATCATGCAATTTGGATGTAATATATTATTGCTACTTTGATGCTTTAGTTCTTTATAATTATAAAAGATGTTTTATGTCAATATTGAATTCATTCTTTGTATGATTTTGAATGCGTAATATATTTATTAATTTAAATTTCACATTAGCGAAGAAACATTTTGGTTTTTAAAAGTATGTCGTTAAAAGGACATACAATTAACGAATTGAATTTCGATCGCCAAACACTAAAAATTAGTTACTGCTAGTGAAGTGTTTAACGACTGGGACGGCATTTAACGATGGAAAAACCCGCTCACTAATGTTGGTATAACGACTGGATTCCTTGCCATCGTTAAAAGAGTTTTTACGATGGGATCAAAATCCGGTCGTTTACCTTTAACGACGGAGGCACTAACGACCGGCGACGACCGATTTTTACCCATCATAATTGACTGATAATGACCGGATTTAGAGTTTTAACGACCGAATTTTCTATCGTTAAAGACCTATTTTCCTGTAGTGTACTTCAGACGGAGTACATGCAATTTAGTGGTTTCTACTCTTACCTAGATTTAGAAGTAAATTATACCCAAATCACGAAAGCCTAGTAGTAAGCCACAGGTTTTTGCATCTGAAATTTTAGCCTTTCTTTATTTATATTGAAAGGTCATACCCAAATCACGAAAGCCTAGCTGTAGACTGGCTGGGCGGACCAACCCCACACTGCATGTTTTTACATGACATAGTCCGTTTGCCTCCAGGCGCCATTGCTGCCTGAAATTAGAGGTGTCAAATTTAACCAAATGAAAATGTAACACATCTAAAGAGTCTCTCGCTTGTTTGCTGAGGCCGGTTATCTTCTCTCTCTAGAAGCCCTGTCCCCCTAGTGGAGGGGTCTATTACTCTCCTTTACAACTAATCGTCTTAACATAAACATCTGTCTTCTTAAATAGTGTCTAATTGTATTACTGATTATTGCGTCTCAGTACGAAGGACAAAAGCTGATACTGGGTCCAAATGTACGCGCAAGTATACGCGGTCGACAAGTAATAGAGTAATGAGAAAGTATTGTTCCCACGAGAATTTAAATTTATAATCAACTATTGTCCAATCTAAACTATTTATAAATTTATTGCTCGAGTGGTGGTGAAAAAAGTGATGGTGATTTTTATTAACTAAATTACTACTAAACAAATATGCAAATAAGATTATAGGATCGCAAGTAGAGCAAACAAACACTTAGAAATAATTTAATGAGATGGGGATTGACGTCTCTCCTATTGCGTTTTTTCAATTGATGTCATCACTTGACTTATCTAATCTGTTGATTAGCAGGGATTATTATACTCGCGAAGTTCTTTCGACGCTTCGCTTACCTATTCAAGCCAACCTAAGACTATATGTCTATAGAATCAAACTTGACAATAACGCATGTATATTTCCTGCGAAAATAACCAAGTAAGGCAACTAGAATATGTCTATCCTAATCGTGAATCTATTCTCTGACGTCCGGATTCAAGAACTTACTCTATTCAATTTTATATGCAATCTATAATTCCCACTTTTAAGTTGAACTATAAATTCGTAGATAATACTCTATTGTTAGCTACGCAATAGAATAATTAAGTGCATAATTTATAAATAAATTAATATGATAGAGTCAAGCAACACAATCAACCGTCAAACTACAATAGTCAATAACGACCCATAACCCCAGAATAATGAGGTTCTTAGCCACTCATGTTTATGACAATAATCAGAATATTATTTTTAAACATAAAAGCTATGAATACTAGAGAAGGATGGAAGAATTAATGAATTCCGTGCTCCCGAATGTTCAGTACTTGCGTTTTTCTCTCAAAGTGGCGTCTCCCCAAAGTCTTCTCCATTCAAAAAGTGACTAACTATTATATTTATATAGTTTAAGGTTCAGTTGGGGCAAATTTGGCTTCTCCTAATTCGGCAAGAAATCGGTTAGGCAATAAACACAATTCAAAACATACTCAAGCATCACACCAATGACAATAGTTTATATCAACGCTTAGAATCCAGCATAAGAACTATTGACATCTTTCTTCAAAATTAGACCCATGCCAAGACTATTTAAAATATTTCTCCCCTAACAGCTCAACCTCAAAAGATGACTCCAATACATTTCCTACTACAACTTACTTCTTGCGCCAACTCAAAGTGCCTCGATTTTATCAATCCTTTGTAAATCATGTTCCTTCACCACAAGTTAAAGATAGAAATTAGTCCACACACTCAAATATGAATTCAAGTATAATTTAACGGCTTACAAATCAAAAGAATTTGCTCACTCTCTCATATAAATTCATGTCCATCCCGAGGTCGTACTATAGGCTGCCCGTAGTGTATGTCTACTAATTTAAGCTTGCGATGTCCCAGATCAATTAGGTCTTTACATGTTGTACTATAGGCTAAGGGATGGGTAGGATGTATTTGGTTATAGTGACTTATCCTCCTAAGCACTTTAATACACTATACTTAACTTTCAAATACACACTCTTCATGACCAATTTAAGCAATGCCATGAAATCATGTACAATTTGGCATTTCTCTTTAAGCATAACTATATATTCACTGGCCTTGATAAGAGGAACAAGAGGTGTATTTTCTATTATTTGTTTCTTTCTTTAGTCTTTTTGTATTTTCTATGACCTTTTTTTTACGCTCTCCCAATTTAGGTTGCCCGACTAATGATTTTTTAAAACATACGTCCACCTTTTGGCCTTTCTATTGTTCCACTCAAAAGCTACCTCAACTCTCACCTTACTCTTCTACCGACTTACATGCTTTCAGAGGTAAATGTTCAAGAAGATATAATTAAGAACAAAAAAGAGATCGGCTTGTAATGTGGGTTTCCAAAGAAAAAGGTTTATAGGCTCAAATGGGCTATTTAAGGATAATTTTATTTATGGTGGCATACTATCTTAATAGACAATCAAAGAACGCCAACATCATCTCCTAGAATCACAAAGCTTACTGATTTTGCTTTGACTAACACACGGAACAAGTTCTAGACTAATACAGGATAACACAGAATGTAATCAAGACCTCACAACACACAATGCACATGATTCACTCCGAACGGCTCATACCCGACTCTCAAGTTAAACAACTAAGCATAGTCATCATAACAATTCCAACAATTAGAAAGTAATCAAAGGAGTCAGCAAATGAACTTAAGCTTCAAAACAAAGCTGCACAATATTGTCAAGGCATGTAATTATAAAGATCATGATGAAATTACTCAGTTCAAATTCTATGAACCTAAGCCTGATATAAAACATGTCAACAACATAGATGCTCAAGTTCTTCCCGTTCCATTATCAGTTTAAAAGAAAAAGATCTTTTTTGTATTTTTCTTTAGACATTAGTCCCTCAAGAAAAATGTCTAGGCAATCCATCATCGGAAAAAGTCCACAATTCTTTACAAAGTTTGAAAAAATCAACATAAAAATACCCGGTTCAAGAAAATGACATCTCGAGAAAGAACCGTAGTTTAAATAAAATTTGGGATTAAGCCACTACAAAATGAAAACAATTATACAATTACAATGGCCATAAGTGTGATCATGCAATTAAAAATGTATCACTAAAAATTAAGTACAACCCACAAAAATCAAAGTCTGACACTCCACCCCACACTTAAAAATATGCACTGTCCTGAGTTGCACAATATCACAAAGACACAAATAAGCAAGATCAAAAGTAGAGTGGGTGTCAGAAACTCC